GGGGGGGGGGGGGGGGGGGGGGGGGGGGGGAGCAGCAGCGGTATGGGAATGCTGGGGGAGGTGCAATATCGAGCGCGTGCTCACGCTATGTGCGCCGCCCTGTGCTGCCGGGCCGGCTCGTTGATAAAATGTTTGATGGAATGTGGTTTGGATCAGTTTTTGTGCGCATTTTGATTTGCTGCTGTCCCAGCGCGCATCGTACGCGGCCCCCCAGGCACGGCCATTGACACCCCCTCCCCCTTCCTGTGCACTTCGCCCATCCAGAGAGAGAGGGCGCACGCTTCCCACTTCTCCTCTGCACTGTTTCGGTATGTATCCCTCCCCCTGAACGCAGCACCTACTTCTTCACCCATCGACCTCACGCTTGCTTGCAGCGCACACGCCTTATTTTCAGTCTTCTCCCCTTTGCTGCTCATCCGGCGCTGCTAGCACAAGTGCAGTGAAGCAGCAGTTCTCAGGATTCGGAACCAAGCCCGCCCCGCTCATCCACGTTCGGCATCCGGAACCGGCGTGTTATCCGCCTACTCATTTCACCTCTCTTGGCCCATCCGCTTCCGCCCTTTAAAGCAAGCTGCCGCATTGTTTGCGCAGTGTCAAACAAATCACTGAAAAAAGTCCTGGAATTTTGATATTTTTATTGAGTAGTATGCAATTAAGAGAATTTGTCATTCAAATATTAGTTGATTGCTTCAAGAATTTACGTTCCTCTGCATAGTGACGCTGCTTTCTTCGAGACATTGGCACTACTCTTGCCGATTTATGAAAGTACCGGCTCACTTTTGCCTTCATTTCCCCAGTGGTGCTGCGGCGTTGCATCCGCACTGCTCTGGCGTTTTCATAGTGAGAGCCCTCTGTATTACCCTCAGCACGGCCAATTCTCCTGGACAGTACTGAAGGACAAGCAGCCAAATTTGTACAACTGCTTATGCGCCGAAAGAATCCACATTTGGTTTAGAACTACTCTCAGTGAGAGCAGAGAATTCCTAGAGACTTTGCACAGCTCCTGAACTCAGATGCACGGGTTTCCCGTTTTCGAATCTTTGATCTTTAAAAGCGGCTCCTTTTGACTAGAGCTATGAAATTACTTTCGAAAAATTATTCAGCCAGTCCGCAGACCAAACTTGACACTCCGAGAAATCTTGAGATAACCAGTTTTGAAACCCGCAGCAACTATGGGAAATGTCTTCAGAGTTTGGTGACTCTGAAGATCAGTCTCGAACTCGCTCAGAGTAAATGATGTGCTTCAAAGGCTAGAGCACAACTGTTTTCTGCTTTCTTCTTGCTTGGACGCCAAAATCACTTATGAAGAAACAACTTTTACCGCGCTGATTAAAAGTTCACCAAAGGGGGAACTATATTCACATCAGCTGGAAGGCGTTATAACAAAGTAAAATGTGGTGACTGAATTAGAAACGTTAAAGGTTATGTAAAGCAAAAAATGAAATGCAGTATAATTTTGACATTGCTTTTAGTGCCTTCTTTTTCTTTTATTCATGTGGGACGTTTATACACATTTGTATTCGAATAATTTATTCAGCACCATAACCGTCGCACAGATGAGATCCAGTTGTGTTACTGAATAGGAATGTATGCGATTTGATGGACCGAAATATTTCTTTTCCATTGAGTTTTTTCTACATTTTTTTAATTTATGCATATATATATATATCATTAGTACAATCTTCATCTTCGTTTCAGTCACTGTTCTCTAGTGTGATCACATTTTTAAAGCCTCAGTACGGTCAAGCGTCCATTTGGCTGTTGCAGTGAAAGTGTACAATGAATGGAATGCGCCACTTGATGTACTAACCAGGGGACATGCAGGTGTAATAAGTAATGTTGCTGGTTTTGTGAATGTCAAGGTCTTGCTCTGACATATTGTAATGATGGAAGGGTGAGGGTCGATTCAGATGACCTCTGAAGCTCTTATTCCCGAAATTGTTCTCGTTTCCTGACCCATCCTCCTTTTATCCCTCAGTTGTTGAGTATTGCTCCGTTTCACATTTGCTACAAATTTTCCACCCCATACAGTAGCGCTCACTTCTCGTTTCACTCTGCTTGTTAAGGGGGCTACTGTTCCGACGGTCAGCAGAAATTTTTTGTGAAAATATGTACTGCGTTTAGTGTAAGAACTTCGAGCTGCCTTGTTGGTGTTGTACAATGCTGCGAGATCGCTTCATTATCCAGTAGCTCCACGTTGCGCAATTATATCAAAATATATTTTTTCGAAATCAGACACAATAAATACTTTTTACTTTCAATTCAGTTTGAAACAGCAACAAAACTTCCAGAGATCGTACCACAACAGCTCAATGACACACCAGTAACATGGCAATAACCTCCAATTTGGTCAATAAGTTATCAACAAAATAAATAATAACTGTACATTACCGTGCATTCTAGCACCGAGCAGCAACAAAAATATAACAAATCGATCAAATATAAACACACAGCCACAATTTCATTACCTTCCTAAAAATTAAACCCCAATCCCATAGCAACTCCTCGGCAGTGTATTTTGTCTAGGATATCAGCACATTCTGTTTTACTGCTGCTGAAAGGAATTCTTGCTGAATTCTGAGAAGTTGTTTCTAAAATACGTTCACTTGAATTAGTTTCATCATTCTTCGCTGCTTGAGTAATTAGAATAAGTACACCAGGACATATTACTAAAATGGATATTCACTGAAGCCTTAGCGTCTCTCTCAAAAGTGTGCCATGTAAAAATTACTGAGGAAAGCAGTCAATTAACTGGATAGTTACATAGACGACTGTGGGCAAATATTCTGCACATACATCTCAAACTAAGTCACAAATAAGATTCGGCCGAAAGAAAACCTAAAAGCCCCAGTTAGGAGTACTTTAGAGGCCGTGTAAGGTAGTAGCAAGAGTAGGATCTTCTCAAGTAGCTTTTAAAGTTCAGTGAATTAGGATCGGTAGCACTGTGTTATTATTTCTCCTAAATTCTTTTATGGTCAAATCTAACCTTTTCTAATGTTTTGGCTCACGACGGGCGAGTATTAAAAAAATAATGAGCCGCTCGCGATTTCGTGTTTTAGGAACGCTTGAGTTTTAGCAGGTATAGCTTAGCCTTCGAGACAAGCATACAACCGTCAAAAAGAGTCAGTCGGCAAAGACTGAAAACGATAGGATGCCACGCCTGTTTACGCCCTCAGCCACTCAGCGGGCTAGAAGGTGAACTAAATTTTTTACCCATGTGCCAGGGTTTTTACACATTACGGGTTATGGGCATTTTCCGAAAAGCAGAAGGCGCTTTTCTGAACTGAGGAAAAGTTCTGGGTTAGGAAGCATAATAGACCTGTCAGTATAATCGTGGGAACTTGGCGAATACTAAAAAATTTTCAAGAACTGAACTCTTTGAAAAAATCCGAAGCATCTTGTCGCTTCTTTGAGAAACTTGCTACGGCATCTTTCCGGGGTTGTGGATTTTTTGTAGAACTCCGCCTTATTGTGGTTAGCGAAGATTGGCTTCACATAGTAAATAAATATACCCACAACAAAATAGCATTCGGAATAATAAAAGAATCGCTGTAACTTCATTCGTTTGATCGATGAGCTGCAGAAGTGTTTAATCATCAATCACTTTTCTTTTTCTTTCGAACTTTTTTTAGTTTTAATTCTCGAACACCTCGTAATACATCGGTTGCTACATTATATTAGAATGCGGATGATCAGCATCTGCACTGCTTTCTTCTTCACAGGAAGGAGGTGAGGGATTTTGCTGGGGCGCATTTCTCTAGGCCTGAGTGCCTCAAACCAGGGCAGTAGGATGGATGCAGGCTGAAGCTTGGTTTACGTTGCTGGAAAGTGGTGACTTACGCCACACAGTGACATGGCTGGGTCCCGTAAGTGTGCCCCTGAATTATCTTGGACTGAAATAGCGCGCCTTGTCTTAGTTAAGCTCAGGCTAAGCAAGCCCTCCACGATGGCTGCGTACCATTTGTGCGGATATTTTGCATCACGCGACCCACTCGAGTTCGCGAATCTGTTTCGCATGCATACAAAAGTGTTTTCAGCATCAGTACAAACATGCACAATAAGATGAGGGGAAGTGATGAAGCACATCCATGCAACGATTCCTGCAGCTTCTCACGCGTGTCACCGTCGGAGCAGCGGCTATCGGAACCGGTAGCGGCCGCCAACAGCACGGAGAATCTCCACCGTTTTAATAAAAATCATGCAAAAATTATTCCATCGCTGCATGCAACAATCCCCTCTGGATACAAATATCTTCAAATACACACGCTTACTAAGGAGACCGTCACACTCGCCGTACATGTTAGTTTCAGTTTTTCATCCTTTCTTGTTTACCAGTGCTCGAAGTTATAATGCAAAAGCTGTCTGCACAAAATACGCCTAGTGCATAAAAAATGACGTGAATTTTGCAGAGTTCTTTTTTCTCCTGCAATTCCCCTCTCGTTTCTTGTGTTTTGTTCGTTCTCTGCCTGTCTTTGAAGTCCCCGAATGCCAGTATGTGTTGATTTGTGAGCACAGTGCCAAATCTAATTTTACTTTCTTAACATCCTGCATAGCAATGATGCGCCATATGAACTAACTTTACTGCAAGGTGCAAATTTCAAAGCAGTTTTAATCAGTTAGTTTACTGCCTTATCACTGTCACAAATGTTGCAAGTACTTTGATGCGCCCAAAATGTTGGCCAGCTTTACTTTTTTGTAGCAGGCAAACACCCAGAATTTGAAAAAGTACCAATTTTCGCTCTTGTATCAAATTGGCATCCTTTCATAGCATTGCTTTCCTTAAATTTTTCTATCGGAGCTTAAATTCGGCATTTTTAAGCTCATCTCATCATCTCTTCGAGACGTAGATTAGTTTTCTTCATTGAATCTGCAATCAAAATTTTTGCTAAATTCAGCTTTCATTTTAATTTTTTTGAGCTTTTCATCATAGGCTCCTACTCCGATTTTTGATGCTATAGTACCCAGTCACATTGGTAGGGTTACAGTGGGTTATGCACTTCAATAGCCTTTCAGTTTGATTATCTTACTCGAGAAAAGTGATTCAGGGGGAGATGATATGCAGAAACAACCAGAGGCCACTGGTTAACCGGGCAACAAAATCGCCAAGTGCATAATTAGTCAGATAAACTGATGTAGGAATTGATCTATTGTATGGGTACCTACCCAGTGGGCAACAGGAAGTTAGACACTAAAAACGCCACGTAAGGTCGAAGGTAAAGGCGGCCCTCGAGCTGGAAAGCTTATGGCCCATTTCGAAACGATGGCCTGAATGCAGCCGAACCAGCTGACGCTCTTCACATCGCGACTGGAACAGAGATGGACAGACCGGCGAATATATATTCGCTTGACTGCTTCAAATTTTAAAACGCGCTACAGCAGACACGCTAACTTTCGGTTCCGTGATTTAGGATGTGCACGCCCTGAACGGAAGTGTTGCCTTCTTCACTGCTACTATCAGCCTCTTCATTACAGTCAGTATTAACAGTGGCCTGTGTATTCGCTTGGCTTTAAATTGAGCGCCGTTTAGCATGCATGGGACAGATATTCATTGCATTTTTTGTATTTCTGCTTGTGATGGATGATTTCTGGGATACTGTAAAAGCTGTAGCAGTGTAGCGGGGAAAAAATTACATTCCATCCTAATCTGATGGCTGCGGCACACCAAAACGCAAGCCTATTCGTCTGATGTCATAGCATGAAACAAGCGAGAGAAATTCATCCTTCGGACCAGCCGTTTTTTGCTCTGAAATTACAGAAAAAATGATCAGATAAGCAGATGGCCGGTGAATGGTAACGATCTGACGAACGGGAGCACATATTGCCAAATATGTTAATTTATCGAGTTACAGAACATCAAAAAACTTGAACTTTTCCGTTTTCTTTTTTTTTTTTTTGCAAGCAGACTATTTTCGGATATTAAAAGCTGTTAAGGCAATGCTCTTATGGTGGCATGATTGATCGCTACTTGTTCTGATGAATTTATACAAGAAATGCGTAAACGGGCTGCTACTGGCCCGCACAAATCAGCCACCATCTTCCCGCATTTTTATGCGCAACAAATAATGTCCAAGATAGCGTTCCTAGAACTGCCTGATTGTGTATCAGTGTATGATGCATGTATATCTGTGCATACATCTACGTAAATACGCGGTATTTTCCTGAATTTGCGCGCACTATCATCAGCGTTCCACGTCAGAGGGTCGCCACAGCGATTTTGATACAAGCAAACGGCGTGAAGCTCTAGCTCAAGCACTGCAGCGGGTTTAGGTTTCCGTTTGAAAGAAGGGACAGAAAAAAATTAGTAATTGTAATTTTGAGGTGAAATGCCGCGTGCAGGATGCATATTTATGTTGTTGTGCTCATCTTGGCTTCGATGAGGAGCGGTTATTTGGCCTGGCCGTGCGGACACCTTCCGAAGGAATTGGTGGTGACCGTCCTAGAAATGAATATTTTTTCCTGGATCCGTGTCGGAAAATAACAAAATATGCGCCAAAACAGTGGAAAATATCACATGCTTGGGTTTGTTAATAACTGTTTTGAATACTTCAAATGTGACTTTATGTGTGGTCAATAGACAAAGTGTACAAAAGATGCCTTTTTATGCACTTTGTGCTGTGAAACAGCAGTAAAAAACGCATCTTGTCACGGGGTTGCCTGTGTGTGTGTGTCCGCAACTTTCAACTCGGGGACCACAAAAGCTAGGAAGCTGAAAATTTAGGAGAACGTACCCCATCCACGTATGATCCCACAAATGTAAATTCAGCCTCTCCGTACTCGCGGGTAACGCGTACGGCCCTGTAAAAGTTTGAGCGGGTAAAATTATTATCACGGGAACCACGGAAGGTAAAAGCTGAAATTTTGTGGGCGTGTCTTTTGCCCACATGCGACCCAGAAAATTTAAATTCAGCCTTTTTCTGCTCGCGGGTAAAACGAACGGCCTCGTGGAAGTTTTTGCGGGTAAATTGTTATCGCGGAAATCACGGAATCTACGAAGCCCAAATTTTAGGATAATAACCCCCTGCCCTCCCACGAACTTGCAAGTCGAAATTCAGCGTTCCCGCGCTGTCGAGTATCACTAACGGCAAGTGGAAATTTTTGCGGGTAACCCCACGAAATCTAGGAAGCTGAAATTTTAGTGTGGGACCTTCAGCCCACGCAACGCGCAACTCCGCAAATTTTCAACGCTCTCGTGGAGGTTTAGGCGAGAAAAATCATTATCTCGGGAGCCAGAGGTGCTAGGAGGCTGAGAATTTCAGAAGGATGTTTCCTGTCTAAGCAGGGGTTTCACAGTCTCAAATTCAGTTCCTAGGAATGCCGAGGTCTCATATACGACCAAGTGAAGGTTTTGTCTCAAAGATCATTCGAAAATTAGGAGATTGAAATTTTGAAAGGATGTTCACCCTTCGAGGTTTCAAATTCAGCTTTCATATGCCGGTCCCTGAAATTTTTAACGATTTTCCAGTATTTCAATTATTTCTGCACAGACCCAAATACAAAGCAGTGAAAATCATTAACGGGCAATCGTTCAGCAGACGGAATCGCACAAAACTCATGAACGCATGGGCTATTCTGGTGCGGGCTGCTATTTATTTTTAATTCTTCCATTAATGAAGTACATTTCAGAATACAGTTGTTGAGAGCCGTCCATTTCTCGCTCTTCACCTTCGCGTTCGCATCTATGTGGACAAAATACAGACGATCAAGTAAAACATCATGTTTAATGCTTTTTGCTTTTATTTTTTTAATGTGAAAAATAAATAACTTGTTGGCTATTTCTGCTAACAATGGAAACGAGGGACTGAAGAAAAAAAAGCCATCCTTGGGGAAACAAAATCAAAAACCCCGTTAATAATTCAGCTAAATTCAAATGCTGACAAAATCAAAATTGTTAATTTAGAAATTAAAAACAATTGAACAGGTAACTCAGCATAACGTAACAGCTGCCGTACATTATACATTCAAACTGTTAGTAAATACGTATATCAGTTTTTGCATTGTCACGTTTACTAACAGCAAAAACGTCATTAGAGAAAAACCACTGAGCGTAGAATTGTGAAATAGAAGATGATAACTTAGGATTATTAATTAAAATAATAACTTAGGATTATTAATTCAAAATCTGAAACGGAAGTGGTCTTCGGCAGGTGAATGATGAAGTAGAGATGTTGCAAATTAACAGAGGTGAAGTAGAAAGGGCAAGGAACGATGTTTTTTCAAACAAAATGTTTGCAAAATTTAATTTTTAAATTCTCATTATGTTGTTTTTAGGCATTTTTTATTTTTTTAGTCTTTGAACATTATTCGAATTTAATTTCTTTGAGTTTATTTTTGGTTCCATATTTGGGTGTTGTTGTTTGATAAATAAGTAGTGTTTTTGAAAGTTTGATTAATGAAAATTTTATTTCAGTAAAACTATTAAAAATCAAATGAATAATTCGATTATGATGAACCACGTATATGGAACTAGGAGAAGTGCGTATAGGGGATGAGGGGGAAGGACTGTACTTTATCAGCATCATTTTCGAAACTGTGTGAAATTTCTTTTCTCTTACATTTTTGAGAAAATAGGCTGTGTGGCTAATATGTATGACTTTGTGTTTTTCTTATGCATGTATTGTGATTTTCAGGTGTACGCCAGCAATTCGACATTATTATCTGCAGTTGCGCGAAAACATACTGGACCAGTGGTCGGGCTCGAATTCGGTGGCTGAAGAACGTTGCTGGGAGCTTGCTGCATTGGCGCTTCATGCTGATGAAAATGGCAATGATCTTTTGTAAGATTGCTTGAAAGTTGCATTTTACAGTTGTGGATTCCTGATTACACATGGGTCAGTTATAGGACCACCGGAAAACTGTCAGTTACTCGCTCTTCTGAGTTCGTGTTTTCGTTTACAGTGTCTTTTTGGGAAATTGAGGGCCGATTGCAGATCGTTTCGAGCGGAACAGTACTTCCCACTTTGGGTTGTTAATATTCATGGGCTTGATTTTGTTCGACGAAATATGCCTGCAGTTCGCAAGGATCTCAGGGCATGTTCAAATCAGGATGCTGTGGTTGAATATTGTCAGCAAGCTTCTAGGTTAGCTGCTACTGCTCTTGCTGACTTGTTATCGTGATCATTACTGGCAGCTGCTGTGGAACTGCTGTATTTGCAGGTCACCCTTCGCACTGAATTGTCATTTGTACGGATTGCGAAGGCACAAAATGGACACATTTGACAATGCCGTCATTGGAATTAGCCCAAAGTAAGCTTTTCATGTGCTTTTTATGCGTTTTGTGCTGTGTAACAGCAGTATTATGCGTTTTGTGCTGTGTAACAGCAGTACAAAACGCATATTGTTACGGGGTTGTCTGTGTGT